GAGGTTATATACTTATATGTAACGACGTAACGTATTTAAAGAAGATTTGGTTCATAAATATCAATAATTCTAATCAAAACATCAATGTGTCATATTACCCTAATATGTCATATTAAGCCAGTCTCCCCTATAGCTTATTAAAATTTTTAAAATTACCCAGCGTGGTCACTCGTCGCTTGCTGCGCTCGCTCGGACAATTAAAATCGAAAACATCCCTCGACTTGTTGTAAAACCACCATAGGTGAATGTCAGAATTATTTTTGCACTTTATTTTTAAAATGTTGATTTACCTATAGGTTTCAAGAAAAAAAAAAAGGTGCTCTGCTGTACTGCAGTAGGTTACAAGTGGTTCACTGTATAATGGATGGTATTGAACTTGAATTCAATGATATAATATCATTGTATAAGAAAAACGATTCTGAGCGAAAACAGTTAGTCAGCCTATGATATTACGAAGTATATTTGATGATACTAAGGCAGGGGCGGAGTGGGAACCAAATCCAGGCCGGGAGTTTAAAATTTATCCACCAAAATTTTTTTCTCTCTAAGCTCGAATTTGGTTTTTCTATTTACCTAGGTATTTCAAAACTACTTATAGTATTTTAAAAGTATTTCAATCACTATCTTGCTATTTCTTTTAACTTCTGTCTTCTAACACATTACATTAATATACCACTAAGTACTTATACCTGAAAGTCTGAAAAATAAAATTAGTAGGTATGGTTTAATAGTTGAAATCAACGAAATATTAATAATTATATTAAACATTGTGTTTTAATTGTTTAGGTTTAGTAGATATAAGGTAATAAGTAATAGATAAATACATACATTGTAAACAATATATTATAATAAAAAAGATTTATACATTCATAGTAATAATTTAGATAATAGCTTAGATTTCTCACCAACTGCAGCATTTTAATTTATGATACTATTGTTTTCTATTTCCATAAGAATTTTATTTTCAATGGCCATTAGCATAAAAGACTCAAGATAATCATTGGTCATTGAATTTCTCAGCCTGTTTTTTAAATACCTACTTCAATGTTTAAAATGGGTGTTTTATTATAAAAATAACCGACCTATATCAATATTATATTGCTTTGATTTTATTTTATGTCTATATTTATGTACCAAATATTTTGTAATTTTATATCCAAAGCCTTATCATAAGAGTATACAATTGTACGAGGCTATCCCAATGTACTATTATTGCATTAATAGTATTTGTAATACAATAATTTAATAGAAACAAATTTTTGACGCATATAGCATTAACTAATATTTTGTAAATTAAATTAAATTAAAAAAAAAAATCTAACAAAATGGCCAGGCCATCTGGAAAATTCCCATTTCCAGACCTTCCACTCCGCCCCTGTACTAAGGTGAATAAAGTAATTTATATATAACCTATTTATGTAGAATCTTGTTTTAAATTTTCAATCATTAGCTATAAAAGTTGAATGTTTTATAAATTTTTAACTACAAAATTATTATTAAATTTTAAATATGATAAATTTTGTCAAAATTTTAACTTTAAATGCTTATATAAAAAAAAATTGTGCCTATATATTTTTAATAATTTTCAAGTGCTATTGTAAAAATATATCAGGAGCTTTGCATTAAACTTTCACGCTTTTCTACCCAACAAATAAAATTTTATTGATATTTATAGAAAAAAAAACTAAAAAATATGGAAAGTAAAAATGTCCGTAAAGAGTTCAAAATAACTCAAAATATTTGGAAAATTTTATCATGTATAGAAAATGGAAATATAAACAACCAGTGAGATTTTCATGTATATACGTTTATTTGTTTTAGAGTAACAACAAAAACCAAAATCGATTTTGTGTATAATCTATTTAGCCTAAAAATTTCCGTTTTTTCTTAATTTTTCTTTTGTTTTTCACTGCGCTTTTGAAAATTACTGGGAATTTTAAATTTTGACCTCCCCAATGCACCAACGATATTCACTTTCCAATTGAACAAGATATTGAAGTTGAAAATCGAAGCATTATTTCGACTACTTATCGTGTACACAGACACAAAAAAAAAATTAAAAAAAAAAAACACATCATTGTAAAATCAATACCGTAAGAGCGGGATACTTTGCTCCAAATATATTTCTTTTTAGTTTGAACCTATACTATAGCTTCAATAACAAAGATAAAAATTACCTGTTCGCGTTGTTTTATATGTATAGATGTTAAGAGGTAAGAACAATTCAAAAAAATCCGAATGTCGTACTAGTGACTTACTTACTTATTCCCAAAAGTTTGGAGCAAAGTTAAAATACATTGCAGGTTACATTGCACAATGATTAAAATTACCTTACTTGAATGCATATAATAACTATTGGTGCAATGTATTTGAACCTATACTTAATATAATTGAATAATATATTTTTTTTTTTTTTTTTTTAGTTGATTAAAAGTCTTTTTTCAATATACATTTTAAATTAAATTTCAATCCCCTAGATTTTGGATAACTTTTCCGTTATGTATTTTTGTGTTTTTGAAAACCATTTTTTACATGATATACATCTTGGAGGAAAACTAATAGATTGATGTCCGTAATGTTTGAAAAAATTAGTAATGTTAATAAGAATAATATAAAAAAAACTACAATCTCTGATCTCAAAATCGTAATGTGCTACGATTGATATCAATAAAAATTTTTTTTGGAGCAATGTTTAACCCCTGGAGTAAAGTATCCCGCTCTTACGGTACATTCATCGTTCAACTCAGAATCTAAAAAATTGAAAATTTATTATCACAAAACACCGAAAATTGTGTACTTTGTATATATACTATAAAAACTAATGATTTCTGGCAATTCATTTTTGCTCCATCGTTTTTAACTGGTTGACAAGGTGTCCGAAAAAAAATTTAAAATTCGTGTGGGTGCTAAATTTAACAAATATTTTGTTTGAAAAAAAATGTCCAACCATCCTCCCATCCAAAATTGAGCAATGCCGCATTTAGAAATTTTGCGCCTAAATGCCAAAAAAGTTTGGCTCCCTTTTAAGGATATGAGATTAAATATGACAGAGATCCTCATGAACTTATTACTTATTAGATTATGAAATATGAAAAGAATATTTGTTTTAAAATAGTGTGCTAATGTGTGCTTTTTTTTAAAAAAATTGTTTAATAACTTCATGAACCTTCCTCCTCCAACCCCCTCCGCAAAGATACAATTGAGTGTATGCCACTTGAACCCTGCTTGTAATTCATCATAATATGTATAAGTTTTTTTTTACATATTTGCTATTTAAGTACTTACTTTATGGATCATATTAATATATTATTAATATGGACAAAATAAAAATAATTTTAATAAAACTAAAGAACCCATGCAAATTAATATTATATTTTTTGAAACATCAAACATATTTTGAATTTCTCTGCATTTGTTAATAAGTAATAATATTAAGTGGTTTTTTGTCTTTTAATAAAGTTTGTTTACAATGTTGATATCCCCTAAACTTTTTTTTGCTGGTCATAATTAAAATAATACAAAACAAATATATAATAAATTAATAAATAATCAATAGCGCCGAATTATAAAAGAAAAAGTATTAATCAGTAATCACAGGTTTCACAGTGGCTAGAGTTTGTATTTTTTTTTATAGAATAATAATTAATTGTATAGGTACTTTTGTAGAAGGCACGCCACCGCACGCGTTAGCAAAATATGCTGTATTATTAATAAATAACTTAATAAAATAATGACAAATGTCTATTGAATATTGGAACCACAAAAAATTTGGGAAATGTATTAAAGAACTATCAGATAAATTAATAATTCTCGAATGCTGGTGCTTATGTTACTATAAATCATAAATGCATATTTAAAATGATATTTTAATTTAAAACAGCATAATACATTAATATTATATAATATTATAATGTTGTATTGTTGTTATGAAATACCTAATTTAAATTTTACAAGTTTTAATGATTCACAAGGGAACAAATTTCCGACAACCAAATGTTGGCACCCCCAAAATACTGGCACCCTGGGCAGTTCAGCAGTTGTAGCCAGTGTCCCCCCTTCCCCTTAAATAGTTAAATGTTGCCCTGCCTTTAAGGCATTCGTATTCTACAATCGTGATTTGAACAAAAACATATTGGATGAATTGGCTAGTGGCATAAAAAGAGTATAGAACAACTTGTCATTGGAACAAAAGTGACCCATAATCGTGGTCTTTAAACCACAAAAATACGAAATATTAGGTCCGTGGTTTATACCTTTCCGTAGTGATGGTATCGCCTATCGCCACTATCGCGCATGTGGTTATATTATTGTTTATAATATTTTATACACGGACTAAGATATACAGGACTGGACACGACAAGGTTGGAGGGTGTGGGGGGGTTGACTACGAAATGTTTTACAACAGGCAGTGTTCGGGGGGATATTTTCCTTTTAGCATTACTAGCGCCGTCCTAGTGGATACTTATGGAACTAGAACACATCATACAAATTTCTAGTTCCATAAGTATCCACTAAGACGGCGCTAGTAATGCTAAAAGGAAAATATCCCCCCGAACTCCGCCTGTTGTAAAACATTTCGTAACCACAATATTCATCTCGTGTCCAGTCCTGTATATCTTAGTCCGTGATTTTATATTTTAAATTTTAAACCGACTACCAATTACCGGCCACGGTAAATAGAGTTTATACTGGAGACGCATAAAAATGAAATATAACCAGAAAGTACAGACTCTGGGCTATAAATACGCGAAATTGAAAAGTGAAAACAATAAAAGTAATCTCTGAACACTTGGTATGGTATTAGGTATATCACTTTATTACGTTCAGTATATTAGGTAAGGTATTTTTACACGTCATTTCGGTCTGTGTCTGTCGGTTTCGATTTGTCCGTTTGTCCGTAAGAAGATCGCACGTCAGTCACCGGAAGAAATAATAAATGTGAAGAATTTTCGTCTCATTAGTCAGTGGATCGATAACAATAATTGTTCGTCCTCGCCACCATGGATCCTGACGCAGTGTGCCGAACCGTCCTCAATGAGATCGAAGAGTGTTTGTCGCAAATTAAACAAATGCCTTTGCCACCATTTCCTGTTTACGAGAGTGAGTATCGATCGCAGTATATAGCTATTCCTTATTATTTTAGGTGTTAGCTGTTAGGCAGTAAGTTTTATAATTATTTATTCGTATGTGAAGGTAGTATAAAGTAGGTACCTACTACAGTGAAACTTCTATTTCACATACATTTTCTGTTAGACGAAATTTTTTGAGAACCAACCCAAATTTGAAACAGATATATTAAACTCTAGGTATTGAACGAAATTCTCTATATTACAAATTTTTTTTTATGCTTCCTACCATGGAAGTTTGAAGTTTCACTGTATATCAGTCGGTTCTCTTCCAGTTAGTGTGCACATTATACGTGATTTCAAATTTAGATAAGCGTTTCTCGGCTTTTCGCTCCCTATAAAGATACACCTGCTGGTTCTTAAGCCAAAACTCAGATTATCTATTTAAAAAAAAAAAAAATTCAAATACTTATTTAGGTACATTGAATCGAATTGACAAAAGCAAGTTCTGAAAAAAATCATTGTACCTACCTATAATCCACTATTTATATTTGATTTTATCCACCTATAAAATGGTGTTACTTTAAAAGCCATTTTTTATACTTACCATTATTTCAGTGATTGGGGAGTGATCTACAGAATTCTAATTTTTTAGATACTGTAAAGGTATGTTTTACATGCAAGGTCCAGGCAGTAGATGTATAGTAATGACAGGTTTTCCGTTCCAATGTCTGCTGTAGGTATCTAGACGCTGCAGGGAAAACATACCATAATGTTTTTGTTTGAATACAAATATGTGTATGTTTTTGCAATTATATTATTAGATAATTTATGTGACTTATAGAATTTAAAATATTTGTGGATATCATTTTATAATACACTACAACCTCATTAATCCAGACTAATTGTGGTTCTAGAATGTCCGAATTAATAAAAGTTCGGATTCTGGATAAAACAAAATAATCTATAAAATGAGCCGCAGTACATATTTAGAAGTATAGACAATAAGACCAAAATGATAATATAAATAATAAAACTTTGCAAGACGTTAGAACACAATACAGTTAAGCCATAGTCAGAACAATGTTCAATAGAGTATTTTTATAATAATATGATCTTCAACAACAAAATTATTATTATGTCCATTGACCATTGTTGTAACAAGTTTCTTCTAGCCCATAATATCCATTCCATGTATATTTTTGTTGAAAGGTTAAAGATCTGTAGCAATACAACTATTTAGTCAGTATATTATCACAGTTTTGATTTTTACTACTCGTTTTAATACTAAACACGTAATATTTCATATTTTCAATACTATTATTACATATAAGTATTCATGTACCTAACTACTATATAAAAATAAAAAATTGTAAAATGTCAGTTGTCAAAAATGTTCAGTGTTACACCTCTAGGTACAAGATATAATGCAACACAGTCATGCGTGTATCCAGGATTTTATAAAGGGTTGTATTTTAATGTAATATTTAAATACAACTCTGGGAGGCTGGCTGTTCATACATCTAATATATTTCTGGATTATACTGCTGAGAGGTTAATGTATTAAAACCCCTTTCCCCCAACTGGCTACACGCCCAAACTCAGTATTAGAAATTATAAAATAACTGGTTATATTCCGATTATTTTTCTGATAATATTAATAAAAAGTATTATTAAACGGATTTCTGGATTAATTAAGTTATACTGTATACAATTTTAACTTCACCAGTAGTACCTACATTGTATATTGTGCATTAGAAATGTATATTAATTTTAAAACTTTTTACAGATACAAATAAAGCTGCCGCTTATATCAGCTATCGTTTAAAAGAGTATGATTCTGTTGCTTATTATCTTTCTGAAGCTCATGGAGGCGGAATTCGTTCAAAACTATCATTGATAATGAATCCAGAGTAAGGTCATCAGAATTGATCAATTAATTTTTATTCAAAACTTTTAAAATATTTTCTCTTGTGATTCAATTAATAATTATAAACCTGTATATGAATTATTCAATAATTCATTGAATTTATCACCAGTAACTACATACATTTATTTTTATTCTAGTACTGCAAGTAAAAAAGAACTCAATGATTGTTTATCCTTGAACTCAGAATATGTGACCAAAAGATACCATGGTCTTGTTGAACGATTAAAAGAAATGCCATCTGAATGGACAATAATACAAATTACTAAAAACTATAATCCTAAAGATGTAGTAACTCCTAGGCCTACAGACAAACCTACAGATGTTTCTGAACTATTTATATCTAGATATCAGTGTGGTCAAAAACACAAAAATATGTATGATATATTTTTAATTTATATGATATTTTTATGATACCAATTTATTATTATTGGTAATTAATAATTATTTATGACATTTTAAGTGAACCTTTGACTGTAAAAGTGGATAAGCCCAAAACCAGTTTAGGACAAAAGACTATCTTTGAAGTTCTGAAAAAAAGCTTAGAAGACACAAATGACAGGCAAAATAAGGATCCATCTGCTATTCGGAATTTAAGGGATTCCGCTTCCCAGTCAATTAAAGTAAATACACAACTATTGAATTATCTCCAAATGAGTCTCTAAAATAAAAATATATTTATAAATTATTAATAATGAATTGTTAAAAATTATTGTTTTCAACAGAACATTTCACAGGAAATTCATACTAGTTGGATAAAACATTGGATTTGTATGTTATTAGGCAATTATATTGATGAGAAACTTTCAGCAGAAGTCTATAGTGTTATTGATAATGTCATAGAGTTAGTAATTGTATCTTGTTGCTTGAAAAATTATAATTTGTGTATATCATACAATTTATTTTTATATTATATGATATAATATTTTCAGACAAGAAAATATGAGTATAAGTGACCGAGGCAGAATGATTTTGTATCAGATAACAAATGCAGTTGTTCAATTAACTAATGATGAAATAAACAACATTCTTAAAGAAGTAGATTGTTCCCCAGAGGATATGAATAAATTTGAATTTGCTATTAATAAATATAAATTAAATGGTTCTCATTTAATGTTGAAAAAGAGACATTCTGTTTTGCTCATACTAGATGAGGTATGGTATTTGTGTAACAATGTAATAACAAAAAAAAATATATTTTCTATTTTTATTGATTTATAGCATTTAGAATGCTTGCCATGGGAAACAATGCCATGTTTGAGAAGACATCCAGTCTCCCGTGTGTCATCTATACATATTGTGCATAGATTATATCACAAACACAAGGATTCTATTCAAAACGGATTAATGTAATATAATGAAAAAATATTTATTGTCTAAGTATTCTAACTGCAATTAATTTCAGGAAAATTAAAAATCAAGGATACTATATTTTAAACCCCGATAAATCATTGTCTAATGCAGAAAAAAGAATGGCGAGTTTCCTCAAAGAAAGAAATGTGAACTGGGACGGCATTCAAAGTCAGGAGCCTACTTCAGAACAGTTCAGTTCATTACTTAAAAAAAATAGCATACTATTGTAAGTGATCATATTATTATAATTTGTTTTTTGTTTTGCTGACCTAACATTTTAACTCTATTTAGGTATTGTGGCCACGGTAATGGAACACAATACTTGCATAGTTTAGATTTAGACAAATTAGATCTACAATGTATACCAATGTTGTTTGGTTGTTCAAGTGCCAAACACACTGACAAAGGAGGAAGGTCTAATTTTGTGGGTGCTTCTTATGGATATTTAAAAGCTGGCTGGTAATTAATTTCTCAACTATTAACACTTTTTAATTTTTAAAACTATATTTTTATTTAGTCCCTGTGTCATTGGTATGTTGTGGAATGTAACAAGTTTAGATGCTGACAACTCGGCCAGAGCCATGCTTAATGTTTGGCTTCCTGGAAATCCCATTAACCTTCAAGGTAAATTAAAAATATTAATTATTATTTAATATTTATTTATTTATTTATTTTACAATACGGGACGAACCCTATAATACATGAAAATAGTAGTATAATAATAATAGAAATAATAGTTTGATTATGGAAACGAGGCTCAATTTAGAGTGAGAATGAAGGGTCAGTGTTGGCAATGCGCATAAGACGGATGATCGGTGAGTTAAGATAGTAGTTTGAGGAAGAGAAAGGAATATTAAATGGAACAGATGATCGTGTACGACGGGAGGGAACATTAAATGAGACACGGGATAGTGATTCAGGACTGTCTATTTTAGAGGAAAGAAGATTAGAAAGAAATGTTAAGTTGGCTGAATGGCGACGATCGGCGAGACTTTCTAAGGAAAAAATTCGTTGGATTGGCGTGTAATCGTGAGGTGGGCAGAATATGTTTAATTTGAAAGCAGCATGACGGAGGAATTTTCTTTGAACCCTTTCTATCATGCTACGTGCAGAAGCGGTGGATGGGTCCCAGAGGATGGTGCCATATTCAAGGATGGGACGGACTAAGGAACAGAAAAGAGTTTTTAGTGGTGTGATCAAGTGATAGTCTGTGGAGATACGGTTTATGAAACCAAGCAGTTTAAGAGCCTTACAACAGATTAACTGAATGTGCATATTAGGGCACAGGTTTCGAGTAAGAGTGAATCCTAAATCTTTTATATAATTATTACAAGTTGTTAAGGGGGTATTGTTTACAGAGTAAGTATGCTTAATTACGGCATTAATACGACAAAAAGTCATTACTGAGCATTTAGTAATATTAAGAGCTAGCCCCAAAGATTCACCCCATGTTACTAATCGCTGAAGGTCGTTTTGGAGAAGGTGACAGTCAGAGATGGATTTTATGCGGAAAAATATTTTCATATCATCAGCAAATATAAGAAGTTTAGCATGCTGGAGGACGGAGGTGGTTGAGTTTACGAATAGGGCAAATAGAAGTGGAGAAAGAACAGCACCTTGTGGTACACCTGAGGAGGGGGTAAAGTGGTCAGAAGAGGTGGAATCAACAGTTACCCATTGTATCCTATTTGTGATGTAAGAGTGAAGCCAGGATAGTAGAGGTTCGCCGATGCCTATAGAGTCTAGTGTTGACATAAGATGATTATGATCAACACGATCGAAAGCCTTGGAAAAATCTGTTCAAATCATATTTGTCAAATTAATTTTATAAATTATAATATTATCAAGTTAGTATAATAATAATAAATTAATTATAGCTGTTTGTCCCTGTATTTTAAAAAATATATACTTAAATTTGTTAATATGTATAATGTTTCAGAAAAATGGCCTAAAGAATTTTTAGATCAACAGGATTACCCCATAGAACGAGAACTCTTGCGTTCATTAGCAATTGCCAGGAAAACTACAAGAAGTTTTTTCAACTACGCTGCTTTAGTCGCCCGAGGCATACCGGTTATCATGACAGACTGATGATGATCCGGATCTAATATAGTTTATATTTTTAAGTTACCCAAAATTTGAAATTTTTTGATTTTACATAATATTAAATAGTTCTAAGTAATATACTATTAAGTTTATACCTATTTAAAAATTTACACATTCATTACAATTTGTTAAACTACATTTTTAAGTAATAAATTGTTTGTATATTTTTTTCTCATACTTTACTGTGTATGTTTTAAATTTTATATTTAAAATTATAATTACTTACCTCTACACATCAGTTGTACGTACAATTTATATCGAAAGAAGTAACTATAGAATAGCCAAGTATTGAAGTATACATAAAATTAAAAACTAGAGAGTGTACCTACTACCTACTACATATATTTTATATTATAGATATTTTATAAATTTATTGTTCAATTAACTACTGAAATATTTCAGTTCTTATATTTAATCTACAAAGTTGTAAAAGGTATCTTTTCCTTGCAGCATCGAGCAACAATTACTCGTCTGGATTTAACCGTAGTAACAATTTAAATATAAATAACAGTGACATTTAAGTAACTATCCATGTTATCAGAACAATTTAGGGCTATCTACATCTAAATATTCAATAAGGTGTTCTTCATTATTGTTTTGAGGAAGATTTTCTTGAAATAGAGATAAATATGATTTTGATATTATGTTTAAGGCTTCTGGTGGCAGTTGATACTGTGAGTAACACATTTCTACACGTCTACAAAGCCCAGCTTTTATGGTTAAAATATGTCATGTATCTTAATACATATGTCCGTGTTAAAAACATATTTTGATATTATCTATGCATTTGATAGTAATGGCAATAAATAATTAATAACAATCTTGATTTCGATAGGTAGTGAAGTGACACTACTGCACTACTATGTGGCACGTAATATAATTACCTTGCTCTGAGTATAAAGTCCATGGATATTAGGCATTATCGTCTGTAGTTCGTTATTCCGTTTATTCCGTATTTCGTACTTGTTGGTAATTTATTGTTTGTATGGTTTTTGATTATAATATTTGAAGACTATAATCCAAATACATTGAGTTGTTTTTGTAGTTTTGTACCAAGGTTTGTCTTAGGTTGATTTTTTCTAAATTTTTTTATCGTCGTTATTCGATTACCATCACGTCGATTGCCAATAGTATTGAACATTATTTTCCTCGCCAGCTGTTAATTGTTTACTTATACGGGTAGACAGCTCTCTTCTGTAGTACATTTCAAGAGAGCTACGTCGTCGGACCTAACCGGGGAGCGTATTTACGGATGCTACTCGAGACTGGCCAATAGATCCCAAATTCAGTTAGGGTTCGTAAAACAAATTTATTTTACGGATACTACTCGAGTCTGGCCAGTGGCCACTATGCCACTGCGGTCTACCAAAATGGTCTACCGTAATAATAAAAAATTTAATTTATTTTTTATTACCCTGTGACCCACTTGGGGAGGTGTTGCACAGCAAGTCGGGGGATATTTTCGATTTGCGGAGCGGAGCGACGGCGCCGAGGAGCGTATCGACGAGTGCCGCTAGCACCGCATCACTGTACGATGTTTTTTCAAATTGGTGGCTCGGTGAAACATAAATGAAATGATTGAAAAAACATCGTACAGTGATGCAGTGCTAACGGCAATCGTCGCTACGCTCCTCGACGCCGTCGCTCCGCTCCGCAAATCGAAAATATCCCCCGACTTGCTGTGCAACACCTCCCCAAGTGGGTCACAGGTTGAGAAAATTGCATTTTTGTTCCCAGCTATATAGGTAGAACACATAACATTGATAGACCGCATACTATGCTCATGTTTATAGTTACGTAGCACCATTGATTATATAATACACAGATAAGCAATGCCATAGGAATATTCGTTGACAATTAATTTCTGGCAGCCACTACGGAGCGCTGTCGGCAACCGCTGGCAGCCGTTAGAAGCGCTGTCGGCATTCGATAACCGCTGGCAGTCGTTAGGAGCGCTGTCGGTTAACACTGATGGCTGACTGGCTGGTAGTCGTTATTCGTTGCTTAAAATATATTAAGAACAAACATATACGTAAACCACGTACTAACCGATAGAATGGATAATTTAAGTCCATTCTAATACAGATATTATATTATATAATAGCAAGATAACAGACTGCATTTGTATCAACGATACCACAAATCGCTAAACTAGACCGGTTTAAAATTATCCTACATTATCCCGCAGACGTATATACAGGGTGTAACAAAAAGAACTGATCGAAAAAAAAAATTGATAAAATTATATGATTAGTAAATAGTTTAAGAAATATACCCATGTTAGCAAATTGCCAAAAATAATACTTTTAAAAAAGTTATTGCGTTCCAAATTAATTGAATCAAAAAAATATTGATATTTAAAAAAAATTGTAAAAAAAAAAAAACTACTTGACTTAGATAAATGTTTTTACTATCCAAATCGTTCTTATAATCAGATTCACAAATTGGCTATTTTGAATTTAATCAAAAAAATTTAAATCAGTTTAAAAATTTTTTATTTTCGGTATTAAAAAATAAAAATATTAAAAATTTTAAAATATTGATTAGAACAAAAGTTATTCCAAAAGTCAGTTCTATCTGTTACACCTTGTATAGTAACTATCATAATATAGGTACATTATACAATCTCAATGAAAAATAATACTGTCATTGTGTTAATAAAAATTGAAACCGGAACTGAAATTAACTTTGGTTGGTCAATATAATATACCTAAATGTACAGAAGACTAGTTGCATCTTGATTTCACTCGTGGATTATTGTTCTGCTTATACATTTTGTTTGCCAATGAATTTTAGAATTTCTTATTGTACCTAAATTTATTATTTTTTATTACATTTTGTTTGCCGATAAATTTTAGAATTTCTTATTGTACCTAAATTTCTTATTTTTTATTTAAATTTTTAAATTCATTATTTAAATAACATGCCTGGTACAAAATGTCAATATGTGGGATGTTTAAAAACCACTGTAAAGTTTCCCCAACTGCATATGTTTCGTTTCCCAAAGAACGAAGCACAACAAGAAACATGGTTAATGAATTGCGGTAAGCTCCAAAATAATATTTTTTTCAATTATTACATTTTAATATACACTTAAAATAAAATTATAGGAAACACACAATTATTGTCACTTGACAAATCCCAATTGTACAATCGTTACATTTGTCAGGAGCATTTTGGACCAGATTCATTCATGAATTCTGAAAAAAAAAAATTAAAGCCACTTTCTGTACCATTAAATTTCAACTCTGATGAGCGTCCAAGTGGGTCAATTGGTAAATATATTTTATATTTAAAAGGTTTTGGGTAATAATTAATTAAACAATAAATTACAATATATAATATAGGTAATGTTTACATAAAATAATATAATATTCTAAACAAAAATAATTAAAATACAAAAAAAAAAAATTCCTCACATTAACTATTTTTTTTAGGAAATGATAATATAATACCCTCTGATTTCATGTTGACTCCAACAAAATGCTTGACTCCAACTAAAACGTATGCCAATATAAAGAATAATTCAGAAGGTGAAATACTATTTTCAAGTCCACCGTTAAATATTTTTACACCAACACAAAGATGTAGAATCAACAATTTAATTGAAATGCCAAGCCCTACTTCTATTAGAAAACGTAACCTTCAAGATGATTTAGATTCACCAATAAAAAAAAAATTAAAAACAAAATTGATAAATAGCACTAGAAAGTTGCATAGTAAGGTTACCATTATTTCAAAAATGAAAAAAAAAATAGTTACATTAAAAACAAGAAACACATTACATAATATACTACACTCACATAAATTTCCATCCAAAAACTCAAAAGCACTAGTCACAATGCAACTGAAAAGTAAAAAACATAAAAAAAAAATAAAATCAAAATTGATGTCAATTTTTTATAAGGATTTTGTTATTAATAAATGGATTGATGATGAAAATATAATGTGTAAAGAACATAAAATATTTATTTTAGAAAAACTTTTGATATGCAAAATTTTTAAAACAGCTAAATTATTTTCAACAACATCAACCCAGACAAAAATAGCTAAATTAAAAATTTTAAATCATATTTAATCCAATTTTATTTTCATAAATAGTTTTTAAATTTATATTTTTATTAATTTTGACAAATTGATATATTAATTATGTGTATTATATAATCAATGATTATACCTATAAACTATTGAATTTTATATTTTAATTGAAACATTATTATTATTAACATAACAGTATTATAACGTTTAGTGAATTTTTCTTACTTACCTCTCAATTTTATTTATATTACCTGTTATTACTATTATTTTATACATTACAATATTATGACATTTATGGAGTTATCACATGAACAATTTATTAATATTTAATGATTCAATAAAATTTAATGGACCAATTTATTATTATTTGATTATTAATTTTTTAAGCTACCTATTCTATTAGCTCACTATTGATTCATTAAAATATGTTTAGTAATTGTTCATGCAACCCAGCATTAGTGTAGATATTATTTGTTAACCTACTAAATTGTATTTACATTTATATAAATTGTTGACAATTTTAGGACAAATTGTATTTTATATGTTAAAAAAATTTTTATTATAATTTAAATGAAATAATTAATTTGATTCAAATATACAAAATATAGGTACCTATATATAGTGAATAGTGATTCACTCACCTTATACAAGAAAATTCCATTCAATAACTCACTATTGATGTATTGATTTATGTTCTTTAATGTTCAAGTTACAACAGTCTACAGAATATGAGTATTTCCTATTTAGTTTATAAATTATATTTTGAAGACAGTCAGTAAACTCGTGGCCCGTGGTCTGTTGTATTATATAATAATATAATATTAAATTGTCATCAATGGTTATACCAGGTTATACCACGATTAAAGATAAGATGGTTACTCAACGAGCCCTAATATTCATACAATATATGATTCTTAAATATTCTTTTCAATTTCTGTTGATAAGAA